AAATTAAAAAATAAATAAATAAAAGCAGTTCAGTACATGCAAACTCAATAAAAGCAAACCCTCTTGCCTCCCATGTCTCCAAACCTTTTGTTAGCTGTTCTACAATCACTTGGCCCATAACCATCTACACTGTCACTTTTGTTAGCTGTTCTACAATCACTTGGCCCATAACCATCTACACTGTCACTCAAAGTGGAGCATCATTCTTTTTTTTTTTAATTAATTTATTTAGTGTGTGTGTGTGTGTGGCCAGTTCAGCCCACCAGGGGGCGGGGCTGGCATGTGGTGCTGGGGATTGAACCGCGGTCCCTGTGCTTTTGTTTAGCTTAGCTTGTTCTAAGTAGGTGCTTTAGACCACTGAGCCATCTCACCAGCTCTGGAGCATCATTCTTGTCCTTAGCTCTTTGCACAGTCTCCTCTTAGTCTCCAAACTCAGCAGTATATCTCTGTCTGTCACCGCAGCCCTTGGTTCCTTCTTGCCACTCAGGCTCCTTGCTTCCTTGCAGCAGCTTCTGAATGAATATCTCAGGAGCTATTCAGCACTACACCCTCATAAGGCTTCAGGTCTACCCACCTCCCTTCTCTTACCCCCCAAAAGCCGCCAAAACTCAGCTAGTTTTCCTTTCCTTTAGTATCTTTAGTGTCTGACATTGTCCCTCCTTTCCTGAGCATTTTCCTTCCTGATCATGGACCAAAAAGTTAACCAGACTTGAACTTCAATCATGATTTAATTTGTTCCAACAATGACCTTAGGACAGTTACTCAATTCAAACCTCTTAAATCTCAGTTGCCTCAGTTACAAAATGGGTATAATTGAAATGAAACTGGCCTTTCTTGTTCCCATTCTTTAGAACCATCAGAGAAGAGGGTGGCATTCCCATGTGTGTATACACAGGCAGAAATAATTGTTTTGTTTTGATACATATAAATGGAAACTTACTACCTGCAGCGTTTGCAGCTTGACAATATTGTGGCAATGTACTTGGAGGTCTTTTCTTGTCAATGCCCCTAGATCTCCTATCTTCTAAACTATCTCCTAATAATAGAAATGATGTCCAGCAATCGTAAGTTGTCAGCGTATGTGCCGGGGAGATGGCTCAATGGAATAAGTGCTTCCCCGGCAAGTGCAAAGGCCTGAGTTCAATCCCCAGTTCAAAAAAAAAAAAAAAAAAAAAGTTGTCAGTGTGTCCAGGAACTTGTGTTAAATACATGCAGTCTATTAACTTAGCTATGCCTGAAGAAAGCCACACAAGTCAGATGCTACTATTGTACTCATGTAATAAACCTCTATAAACCTGTTCATGGAGAAGGCTCAAGCATGCACAGGGAATACCAGACCTGAGACTGGAATCCAAGCCATCTGACCTCAAACCTTCATTTATAACCACTATACACATTGGCATGTTTTATCAGCATACATTATGTGTTGAAGGTTTTTGTTCTTGTTTTGAAACATGGTCTTACTCTGTGTTCCAGGCTGGCCTTGAGCTCACTATGTAGCCTAGGCTGGCCTGGAACTCAGATCCTGCCTCAGCCTTCCGAATGCTGGGATCACAGGAGTCTGCCTCCATGCCCAGCTTGCTGAAAATTTTTATGAGGACGTTAACCACAAGAGATTACCTCACACAACACTAATCTCTAAAAATTCTTTATCCCCTAATTCTCTTCCCAGTTTCAGAATTACCGCTGCTTCTACTCATCTCCTCCCATCCTTACTCTCTCTACCCTAAACTCTGCCAGTACATTTCTTCTTTTATTCCTGTACTCCAATTTTTTTGGAGGGGTGGATCAAATCTAGGGCCTCTTGTATGGTAGAGAAACACTGTACCACTGAGCTACAACCCCAGCCTAGGAGGGCATAACTCCTTGTTATGGGGCCTTTCTTGAGTTATGATACCCCTTTCTGAATTTCACATTAGAAAATGTCTTCAGATATTGCCGACAGTCCCCTGAGGGACAAAACCGCTACCAGTTGTGACTTCTTGAGTTAATAACAGTTAATAACCAGAAGACAGATGGTGTGGTTTATATCAGTGTGGTGGATGAGCTGGTGGTGAACTGTAGAACCCTGGAGATAGAACACATTTGGAAGACCGCAATGAGAGTTATTCAACCATGAGTTTTGAATTGCACATCGAGGTTCTTGATGTAGTTGCTCAGATCACAGATATCAGTATACAGAGTTAGTCAAGGTGGAAATTCTAAACATTAACTGCTATTTTAACAAATAGTGCTGGAAAAACTGGCTCTCCACATGCCAAAAACTACTGATGGAGATAGAACCTTGCTGTATAGAGTTTGTTGTGAAAACATATGCACATCAGCACGTTGCCATACTAATAAATGTCTGGAAGCTAATGAGCACCACTGTGAGCACTTTTTGTAACTGTGGAGACTAAAGGTGAGTTATATTAACCTCATGATATCTCAATAAACTTAGTACTAAGGGCCAGCCAGATAGCTCAGCAGACTAAAGCACCTGCTTAGGCAGACAGCAGTGGCCAGGTTGAATCCCAAGCCTGCCATGCCATCCCCTGCTCTCAGAGCATGCTGAGATGGCAATTGAGACTGGGCATGGTGGTGCGCGCCTGTAATCCCAGCACTTGGGAGGCTGAAAACAGGAGAATCACTACAAATCTGATCTGTGTAGTGAGACCCTGTAGACCCTGTACTAAATACACTTTAAAAAAAAACCCTTAGTATTAAAATATTTATGTGAGTTTTTTCTTTTCCTGATGAACACATACATACATTTATTTATTTATTTATTTATTTATTTTGAGGACTCTGTAGTTTAGATTGGCCTAGAATTTGAGATGCTCCTGCCTCAGCCTCTCAAGAGCTGGGATCACAGGCATGCACTATCCTGCTGGCAAGGCTTTTAACATATTTTGAAGACTATACTAGCTGATCATATGTAGGGTATGAGTGAAAGAGAGGTGTCAAGGATCAGTCCAAAGTCTATCACTTTAGCAACTATCAGTGAACCTTTTGTTTGCTGACTTCTAAAAGAGGGTAAGATAAGGAACTTTGTGGGAAATCAGGAGGTCAGTGTTGAACATGAGTCAACAAATTGAAAATTACGACTTCCTTCTCTAAATTTTCTAATTTTGACAGTTTATTTTAACCATTACATATTGTTTGTATCTTCTTTCCATATTTTTCATTAGATGTGCGATTTTTTTTTAGTACAGGGTCTATAGGGTCTCACTACACAGATCAGACCTGTAGTGATCCTCCTGTTTATAGCCTCCCAAGCGCTGGGATTACAGGCGCATCACCAGGTGCAATTACAATCGCCCCCCCATTGTACCCCGGGGGCAGGGCTGGCATGGCATGCTGGAGATGAATCCTGGTCCCTGTGTCTGCCTAAGCAGATGCTTTAATCTGCTGAGCTATCTGGCCAGCCCTTTAGATGTGCATTCTTTTGTACTCAAAAGCCAGTCCTTCCTTAACACCTTCACTACTGTCACCGTTTACTACTTTAAAAAAAAATTATTATATTTTATTTTGAAGAGTAAAAACAGAAGCAAAAACAAATAGAAAAAAAGAAACAGGGTAAACATACAACAATATGTATGTTACAAATTTTCAAAACAGGAATAGCTAATTAGCAATTATTATATTTTCTATTTTTATCATAAAATCTGTTGCTCAGATTAACAGACATAGTTATGCAACATTGGACAAATAATTGAATATTGATGCTTGCTTTCAAGAAATCTTAATTTTTTTACCCTTGACTTTTTTAAAAATTTATTTTAAGGAGAGTATAATAGATTAGACATTAGTAATGGTACACATTTAGAAGACCACAGTGAGAGTTATTCAACCATTGTTGAATATTACACATTGTTGTTCTTGATGTAGTTGCTCAGATCACAGATATCAGTATACAGAGTTAGTCAAGGTGGAAATTCTAAACATTAACTGCTATTTTAACAAATAGTTCTGGAAAAACTGGCTCTCCACATGCCAGAAACTAAAACTAGACCCGGGTCTATCACTATGCACTAAAGTTAAATAGATTAAAGTGGGCCCGGGGAGATATCTCAGTAGAATAAGTGCTTGCCTGGCAGGGGCAAGGGGCTGAGTTCAATCCCTGGTTCCACAAAAAACAAACAAACAAACAAAACCCAAAACCTCACTGTCCTTAAAAAGCTAAAATGAATTAAAGATTAAAACAGAAACACTAAATCTCCTGGAAGAAAAACTAGGTGGAAATCTTGAAGACACAGGAGTAGGCAGACAGTTCATGAATAAAAACCAAACTGCATGGGAAATACTCCAAAGAATCAACAACTGGGATCTCATCTTATTGAGAAGTTTCTGCATGTCAAAAGAAATCACCATCAGAGTGAAAAGACAACTCATAAATTGGGAAAAAATCTTACCCAACAATCACTCAGACAAAGGACTACTATGTAAATTATATAAAGAACTAAAAAAGGGCTGGGGAGATAGCTCAGTAGAATAAGTGCTTGCCTGGCAAGTTCAAGGTCATGAGTTCAATCCCCAGTACCACAAAAAAAAAAAAAAAAAAAAAAAAAAAAAATCAGCCCCAAAATTTAAAGACTCAATCCAATAATGGGCATCTGAGATGAATACACACTTCTCAGAAGAAGAAATACAAATGGCAAATAAATATATGAAAAAATGTTCCACAGCACTGGCGACTTGAGAAATGCAAATTACCATCCCACCCAGAAAGAATGACTATCATAAAGAAATCAACTAATAACAAATTATGGAGAGGCTGTGGAGAAAAAGGATCTCTTCTCCACTGCTGGTAGGAATGTAGGCTGGTACAACCACTATCGAAGGCAGTGTGGAGACTCATCAAAAGACTAGGACTGGAAATCCCATTCAATCCAGCTATTCTCCTTCTGGGTATTTTCCCAAAAGAACTGAAATCATCATATCATAATAATATGCATGCACCTATGAGTATAGGAGCACAATTTGTTATAGTCGAATCTCAGAAACACGGGGCTGGGGAGATGGCTCAGTGGAATAAGTGCTTCCCTGGTAAACGCAAGGGCCTGAGTTCAATCCCTGGTTCCGCAAAAAAAAAAAAAAAAAAAAATCTCAGAAACAACCAAAATGCCTGTCACCTGAGGAATAGATGAAAAAGATGTGGTATTTTTATACAATGGAGTACTACTCAGTTATAAAAAAAACTAGAAGCCTTTATAGATAAGTGGATGCAACTAGAGCCTACCTATACTTATCAGTAAAATAAGCCAGAGGAACATGTGTAAATATCATATTATCTCCATATTGTAAGAACCTGAAAGAAGGGCTGGCCAGATAGCTCAGCAGATTAAAGCACCTGCTTAGGCAGATGCAAGGGCTGGGATTTGATCCCCAGCGTGCATGTGGGGCTGGCCCCACCCCCAGGGTGCACTGAGAGGGCGACTGTGACTGAGTGTGGAGCACACGACTGTAATCCCAGCACTTGGGAGGCTGAAAACAGGAGGATCACTATGAGTC